TACTGACAATGCCTGAAAAAAGTTGAGTGTTCCATACCTGAATCTAGTCATCCTTCATGAATAAAAAAAGTACAACAACAATATCAGATTACATTGATATAGCGCTTTTCATGTCAGGAGGGAAAATAATTAGTGTCATGTACTGTATTTCAAGTGGAACCAGCTATGGCTCTGACGAAAGGTCATCAACCTTAAACTCACTTTCCTCTCTCCATAGATGTTGCCTGACCTGCTGAGTGTTCCCAGACACTTCTGTTTTTATTTCACTTTTCCAGCATCTGCAGTATTTTGCCTTTTTTTTCCAGCTATGGCTTTTACTGACTCTAATCTCATTGATGGTAAGACATGAAAAATCTGCATAAAGATTAGTTGCATTTTGTACAATAAGCATAAATAATTAATCACAATAAAGTATAAGGAAATGAAAATATTGGAGTTTTTTTATTAAAATGCAAGGTGATTGCACCTTGAAGTCTCAAGTAGAGAAATCATTAATTCCTCCAGTTCTTTAAAAAAAAGGGACAATTGCAACAAACCTGCATTATTGCATACCCATGTAAAGTATTGCAGTTAAATAACAATAATAATCCTGTATATTTTGTGGGTGAACTCAGCAGCCAATTATGCACAGCAGTGTTCCACAATCAGCCACAGATTGAGTGACCAAATCATTTTTTTAAATGTTTATTTTGTTTTGAAGGTATTATTACCCCCAGAAAAGCAATCCGCCAATAACTAAATGGTTTCTACTTGGTGCTAGGTAAACAGTATAAGCCTTACTACGTACAGTCTAACTTTCATATCTTAAAATCTACTGAAGATAAAGCATGTGGTAGGAGAGAAGAGAATTATAAAACCTAGTTCTGATTCACAATTAAAGAAAGTTATAAGAATCAGACTGTAGTAAATATTATTTTTTATTTGCAGATGGTGGAACAAAAAAGTAAAAGTTCCTGTCAACTAAAAATAATTCTACATGATCAGATTCACACATGAAAAGGATCTTATGTGGAATTTGGTTACCCGATCTGAAATTGATAGCATACCCCATCTGAAATTTTGTTACTAAAGAAGAGTTGCATTTTTCTAACAATAATAATCTCTGCATTTGATATAGTGCCTTGTCATGTTAAAACATCTCAGTGTTTTCTGTAAATTGTAGTGACTATGTATTTGTAGGCAAACACAACAGCTAATGTGCACACAGTAATGTCCCACAAGCAGATCAAAGGATTATTGGCCAGGACACTAAGAAAAACTACCTTCTCTTTCAAATAATAAAAATAATCATTGCATTTGATATAATACTTGTATTTTTGATATAGCGCCTTATCACATCTTCAAGACGTCTCAAAGCACTTCACAGAATATACTGTAAAGTGAATTGACTGCATATTTTGTGGGCATAATTGCGCACAGCATTGTCCCACAAACAGTCGTGGATTGACTGACCAACTTTTTTTTAAAGAAATTATTACCCCCCAATTGTGCACAGCAGTGTCCCACAAAAGTCATAGGTTGAGTGAACAATTATTTTTAGGGATTATTACCCCCAGAAAGCAATCCGTCAATCGATTAACAACCGGGTTCCTACTTACTGCTAGGTAAACAGAGGTGTGTGGAGTAAAGAAACTTGCCCAATGTCGGAAATCAAACCCAACTCTCTCGCTTGCAAGGCAATTGCTCTATCCACTGAGCTACAGGACTCCATATAGCACCTTATCACGTCTTCAAGACATCTCAAAGCGCTTCACAGAATATGTGGTCGAAACACAGCAGCAAACTGCGCACAGTAATGTCCCACAAACAGTCGTAGATTGAGTGATTATTATTGAATAGTAATTATTATTGAATATTATTGAATAATTATTGAATAATCCCCCAGAGGATCGAATTCAAGATCCTCACCCTCACCTACAAGGCCATTCACGGCCTTGCTCCCCCCTACCTCTCCGACCTACTATCCCCCTACCTACCTGACCGTACCCTCCGTTCCTCTGGCTCCGGTCTGCTCCACATCCCCCGCCCCAACCGCCCTACCATCGGTGGCCGGGCCTTCAGCCTCTCAGCCCCTAGGCTCTGGAACTCCATCCCCCAGTGCCTTCGCCGCCTCCTCCCTTTCCTCCTTCAAGGCCGGTCTCAAGACCTTTCTCTTTGATCGTGCCTTCAGCTCCCCTCTCGACTCTCTACCCCCTCCTCGCTCCCTCCCTTCCCTCCCCTCACCATTTCCCCCCTGCTCGGGTCCTGACCCAACTGTACAGCGCCTTGGGACGTCCTCCCGACGTGAAAGGCGCTCAATAAATGGAATCTTGTTGTTGTTGTTTTTTGAATTGTGTCATATTATTTAACGTCCACCAGAACTGGCAGATGGGGCTTTAGTTTAACATCAGATCTGAAGAACAGCACCACCAATAATACAGCAATCTCACATCTCTGCACTGGAGCATCAGCTTAGTTCATTAGTTCCCCCAAGGCTCCCAAATCGAGGCCCCCATTTTACCTGACAATCATTTTACCTGATGACAGCCCATCCACTTACATTCCCGAGGCCGTTCGGGGAGCCAGACCACCACTGGACACCCAGCTGACCCCCAAAAAATTTAAAAGCGAGTGGAATAGTATGATAGACTACTCCAGCGTGAAGGTCGAAAGTCTTGTAGTAGTGTTGAAGTTGGCAACAGTGATGATAAGTTATTTTGAAGAGGTGGCGAGGTTATCATTGGACAAACAGTTGGATAGCTTACCAGACAATCCCTTCCTCATTTTCTCCTACCCCCCAGTCCCGCTTCCTACTCAAACTCCAACACAAACTACACACAGATTTTTCACAAGAACCCACTGGGCAGCAGTTATCAGTGACTGAGTGACCTCCTGGTCCACATCACATTTCCTACAGCTTTCCAAACTGAGATCAAGGTGGCGAGATTGGGCAGGTTCATCCCCAATTGGGTGGGTTTTTGTATTCCTGTACGTATAGAAAAACGGCTTTTGGCAGGTACCTAATATTTTTCTTTTACATTTTTTTTAAATGTGTATTCCCCCACTGAGGACCTTGTCTTACATAGTTTCAAAAACACTAATCTAAATCAGTCACTCTAGAGGCAACATATAATATTGAGCTACTTTTGGATTTATATAATAATTCTTCCATTTGATATAGCGACTTATCATGTTGGATTGACTGTATTTTGTGGATGAAACAAGCGGATTTTAATTTCTGGCAACACTCTGGGTGGGATCAGCTAACCCAGCGCAGAGCAAAATGTGAAACCCAGGATTGACAGTGCTCAGGCCACAGCCAACCCACTACCCGCTGTCTCCACTTGACTGGCTCTGGCCTCATCTTGTCCCTCGTACCCTCCATTCCACTATCAGGTGGCCAGACTTTCAGCCATTACGTCCCGAAACTCTGGAATGCTCTTCCTCTATCCCTTCACCTTGCCCGGTCCTTCTCCCACCTTCGGACCCCCCTCGATAGACCTTCCTCTTGGTCTGTGCCTATGGCCCACCTCCCTGCCCTGGGGCTGGGAGTCATGCTCCCCAACCCTGGATGGATGGCGCTATATAAATGCATGTTGTTGTTAACCCAGAACAGAGCAAAAGGTCAAGCCCGGGATTGCCAGAGCTCAGTGCACAGGCTAGTTTGCTGAGCATTTTGCACAGGAGAGAGACAGAGAGGCAGTGCTGTGTTGGGCTGTGTTGTGCTGTGCTGATCTGTGTTGTGCTGTGCTGATCTGTGTTGTGCTGTGCTGGTCTGTGTTGTGCTGGTCTGTGCTGTGCTGGCCTGTGTTGTGCTGTGCTGGGCTCTGTTGTGCTGGCCTGTACTGGGTTGTGCTGTGCTTGGCTGTGTTGTGTTGGTCTGTGCTGTGCTGAGCTGTGTTGTGCTGGGCTGGCCTGTGTTGTGCTATGTTGTGCTGGCCTGTGTTGTGCTGGGCTGTGCTGTGTTGTGCTGGGCTGTGCTGTACTGTGCTGGTCTGTGCTGGGCTGTGCTGTGCTAGGCTGTGCTGTGTTGGGCTGTGCTGGTTTGGTCTGTGCTGTGCTATGTTGTGCTGGCCTGTGTTGTGCTGGTCTGTGCTGTGCTGTGTTGTGCTGGCCTGTGCTGTGCTGTGCTGCTCTGTGCTGTGCTGTGTTGTGCTGGTCTGGGTTGTGCTGGTCTGTGCTGATCTGTGCTGTGCTGGGCTGTGTTGTGCTGGTCTGTGCTGTGCTGGTCTGTGCTGTGCTGGTCTGTGCTGTGTTGTGCTGGGCTGTGCTGTGTTGTGCTGGTCTGTGCTGTGCTGGTCTGTGCTGTGTTGGTCTGTGCTGTGTTGGTCTGTGCTGTGCTGTGCTGGTCTGTGCTGTGTTGTGCTGGTCTGTGCTGTGCTGGTCTGTGCTGTGCTGTGCTGGTCTGTGCTGTGTTGTGCTGGTCTGTGCTGTGTTGGGCTGTGCTGGTCTGTGCTGTGTTGGGCTGTGCTGGGCTGTGCTGTGCTGGGCTGTGCTGTGTTGTGCTGGTCTGTGCTGTGTTGTGCTGGGCTGTGCTGTGTTGTGCTGGTCTGGGCTGTGCTGTGCTGGGCTGTGCTGTGTTGTGCTGGTCTGTGCTGTGCTGGTCTGTGCTGTGCTGGTCTGTGCTGTGTTGTGCTGGGTTGTGCTGGTCTGTGCTGTGTTGGGCTGTGCTGTGTTGTGCTGGTCTGTGCTGTGCTGGTCTGTGCTGTGTTGTGCTGGTCTGTGCTGTGTTGTGCTGGTCTGTGCTGTGTTGTGCTGGTCTGTGCTGTGTTGTGCTGGTCTGTGTTGTGCTGGTCTGTGCTGTGCTGGTCTGTGCTGTGTTGTGCCGGTCTGTGCTGTGTTGTGCTGGTCTGTGCTGGTCTGTGTTGTGCTGGTCTGTGCTGTGCTGGTCTGTGCTGGTCTGTGCTGTGTTGTGCCGGTCTGTGCTGTGTTGTGCTGGTCTGTGCTGGTCTGTGTTGTGCTGGTCTGTGCTGTGCTGTGCTGGGCTGTGCTGTGCTGGTCTGTGCTGGGGGGACACTTACGGCTCAGCCTCGATGCTGTTGTCCAGAGCCACATAGTTGCTGGGGATGTAGCCCTGGCGGGTCCTGCCCGGCTTCAGGGACTTGGCGAGCCACCAGGTCTCCAGCGACTGGTCGATCACCTGCAGCTGGTCTCCGGCCAGGAAGCTCAGGTCGTCCTCGGTGCGGGCTGCGTAGTCGAACAGAGCCACGTAGACGGTCCTGCGGGTGTCCGCGGCGCCGCGGGTGGGCAGCGGCGGCAGAGGCTTCTGAACGTTCAGAGCGTGGTTCACGATGACCTCGGGCGGGGGCGGGGGGCGCCCGTCCCTCTTGTTGTGACCGAAGAAACACGGACACAGGCGGCCCACACAGGGGCAGCGGCTCCTCATAGCATTGCCCATGGCTCCGGCCACCGGCAACTCCTCCAACTCCCTGCCCTCCCTCACCGAGGCTTTCCCGGCTGCTCCCACTGGAGAGGCATCGCCACACACACACAACTGCTCACACACACACACCACTGCTCTCACACACACCACTGCTCACACCACTGCTCACACACACACACACCACTGCTCACACACACACACACCACTGCTCACACACACCACTGCTCACACCACTGCTCTCACACACACCACTGCTCACACCACTGCTCACACACACACACACCACTGCTCACACACACACACACACCACTGCTCACACACACACTACTGCTCACACACACACCACTGCTCACACACACACACTACTGCTCACACACACACACTACTGCTCACACACACACACTACTGCTCACACACCACTGCTCTCACAGTCTCTCTCACACACACACTACTGCTCACACACACACACCACTGCTCTCAGTCTCTCTCACACACACACTACTGCTCACACACACACACCACTGCTCACACCACTGCTCTCACAGTCTCTCTCACACACACACCACTGCTCACACCACTGCTCACACACACACCACTGCTCACACCACTGCTCTCAGTCTCTCACACACACACCACTGCTCTCTCACATACACACACACACACGGTGGTGGGGGGAGGGAGGATTGACGAAGAGAGGGTAAACCTGGACTGATAAAATATTTGCGTGTGAGCTGTAGTTTCCACCCCCGGTGTGAAGTGAAAAGAAACCCAGTGTAACTGCACTGCCCGACACTCAGGTAACTCCCCCTCTCCCCCCCTCCCTCCCTCCCCTGTCTCAGGTTGAACCAGGAAGCTCTTGACTCACTAAACTTAACAGGTGCCAAGAGTTTTATTTGCGCTGAAACTTTTTTTTCCCCACACGCCCGTCGAGCAGGGCGGCCCCACCCCGACTGACCTGACAAGACTTGGTTTGGATAAGATATCTTCCCTCCCTTCCCCCCCCCCCCCTCTCCATTCCCCCCTATTCCAGCATTGCTTTTAAACCCCCTCCCCAGTGCATGACAATTCCTGGTGCTGCTCAGGTTTGCTCTTCCTGTCTCTCTCTCTCTCTCTCCTCTCTCTCTCAGTTGCACAGATTACCTGAGTGAGGACTGGGGGTATGTCTCGAATTACAGTGGAGTCCTGTATTTTAGTTGGAGCACTCGCCTCGCAAGAGAGAGGACTTGGGTTCGATCCCCAGTCGAGCGAAACTTTAGGCTAGTTTCCTCACTCCTCACGCCTCTGTTTAACTGGGAACTTGGGTTGTTCGTCGATTGACGGATCGCTTTTCCGGGGGGGTAATCATCCCTTAAAAATAGAGAAATAATTTGATCACTCAATCCACGCGACGGTTTGTGGGACAGTGCTGCGCGCAATTGACTGCCCGCAGTTTCGCCCACAAAATACACAGTCAATTCACTTTACAGTATATTCTGTGAAGCGCTTTGGGACGTCTCGAAGATGTGATAAGACGCTATATCAAATGCAAGGATTATTATTATAACTACAGAAACTGTACAGCACCCAATCAGGCCATTCAGCCCAACTAGTCTGTGCCATTTTATAAATTAGGTGAGCCGCCACCATTGCTGATGTCCCTGCCTTCCCCCGTCTCATACTCCTTTATTCGCTTCCTCCATCAAGTGCACATTGAAAACCAAAGTGCCCAGACTTTTTTTTCTTCAGTGCAATAAATATGTGTGGTTGGGGAGTCAGTCATGATGTGCAAAGGTTTCAGATGAGCTGGCAAATCATAAGAGCAAAGCTCAGGTGCTTTATAGATATAATGTGAACCTATTTTTAGAGGATTAAATCCCTTTCTCAGCGACTAGCGGTGTGGAGGATTTTCAAGTCCAACTACTGCTGCGAAGACGAAATTCCCTAAATCACTCCGTACAATCGATCTGATTGTTAAAAATAAGTATACTGGCTTAATTGAGGCAGTATCCTGTAAAACAGTATTCAGGTGCTTCCCTTGACTGATAAAAATCTAATTTTCTGTTGCTTGACCCCAATCATTGTGCCAAAGCCATGGCAGTGTTTCATGTATGTAATAAATATCCGATTAAATTTGTTTTGTTTCATAATAGTTTCAACATAAGAAATGTTTCGCCCACAAATATGTAGTCAGTGCACTTTACAGCATATTCTGTGAAGCACTTTGAGACGTCTAGAAGACGTGCAAGGGACTATATCAAATGCAAGGATTATTATTATAATAAACTGTTATAAAATATACAAATGTTTCCACCATTTGAATTTATTCCCTTATTATTTATTCCACCTTTAACAATCTTGCCCTCTTCCCCCCCACCACCCCCACAACACCCAAACAGATCTAAATCCTATCTGAGCCATTTTTCCTGTTACGACTGCTAGCTCAGCTCCCTCAAATCACAATCACAAACAGTCAATAATAACAACAATTAGCATTTATATATGTTGCAGGAAAGTTGTGAAACCAGAGATTTTGCGAAATCCTTGAAATTTTCAGTAAAATTGTGAAACCATGAAATCACTCAAAATGGGAATCAGGGATTTTGTGAAAAAATGATCCCAGCAGTGGACAGGGGTAAACGGGATCCCAGGAACATCCTTGGTGTTATCATTAATAGAGATTTAGACACTGAGCAGTACAAGCTAGCAGTGAAGGCTGGCATCCTGAGGGGTCACTCTTCCAGAAACCAATTTGACCTCTGCCCACAACAATTGTTAATAGAGACCTGTGTCAACCAGGAGATGCCAGTGTCACTCTGTGAAGCTGTCATTGCACAATCTGTTTGTGGTGGACAAGGTTTTGCAAAGTGTAACTGAAGTCAAAAGAAATGTCAGACCAACCGTTTTAACTGCTTCAAAGCAAAGCTAAAAAATAACTCCTGTTGCCATGGAAGCTTCACTTGTGTTAACAAATGAACATTTGACTCATCAGTGAATGAAATGTCACATGAAGTTTATGGTGAATAAAATATTAATTTTTATAATGTGTTATTTATTTGTTGATAATGATAACAAGTGTCAAGCCAAGGTTATCAATATGATGAAATTATCACTTTTTCATGAAATCCCTGACTCCTAATTTCAGTGATTTCACGGTTTCACAATTTTATTGAAAATTTCAGAGGGTTTGTGAAATCCCTGTAAAGTATGTAGTTCTTCATCTGGCGCAGCATCTTAGAATGTGCAGTCAAATGTATGTGGCATAACCCAAACCCCTCCATCTTGCTCATTTTCTATCTGAAAAAATAATAACACCACCATATTGGGAGAAACTTCACTTTTTTAATAGTGCTTTGGGATTTTCCGTCCATCTAGACAAACAGATGGAGTTTGGGTTTAACAACAGTCTAAGGACAGCATTTTTGACCTTTCAGCAAACATCCAGCACTGCATTTGAGTGTCAGCTTAGACTATGTGATTGTAAGTCCCGAGGTGGATCTTGTCTTGAATCGACAACCTTCAGACTCAGAGGCGAGAGTGCTACCAACTGGGTCATGATGATACACAACAACAATAATAATAAAAATCTGGATTTGACATAGAGCCTTATCAAATCTTCAGGACATTTCAGTGCACTTCACAGGTATTATTATCAAGTGCACTTTGTAATTTGAGGACAAAGGGCATAGTTACAGTTTAAAGTTCCATTTTAGACTAGACACTTTAGGAAGTATAATATTACACATTGCTGGTCGCTAATTGTCTGCTACATTTTGAACTCAAAGTACACAATCACTGCACTTGATGTCTTATCTGGAAATACTGTTCCAGGTTCACTTCCTCTGTTACATTTGGCACCGTATCTACCTTTGTAAGGTCGTCTTGGAAATGTATCTTTTCAAGAATAAAGAGCCCAAGTTTATTTAGCCATTTCTCATAGTTTCCTTCATCACCGCAAATTAATCTCTGGTGAAATGCACCTAAGGTTTAAGTGCCCCCATCCTGCTTCACGGAAAATTGAATTCAAGTGAACGTTGTTTATGCCTACCCTTTTACAGTATATTGCTATTTATATACTAAAAACAGAGTACCCATATATGGAATGAAAGTCATTCACTGAAATGACTGAATATGGCAGATGTTATTTCACAGGCTGACAAATGTAGTCCACAGTATAATCATTGGTGTGAACACCATTAATTGTTGTCCTTCCATCTGCACCCTACAGGCATTTCAAACAGCAATCCTCACGGCACTACCTTAATTAAAGCTAATACTGTGAAGTGCTTTGAGACATACTATGTGAAAGGTGCCACATAAATGCAGGTTATTGTTGTAATGATAATCAACATACAGGATATGATTAGGAAGACTATATTTTCTCACAATTGTTTTGTACCTAAAAAGATATGTTTAATTTCAGCTACCATTGATCTGTCACGTGGGATTAAATACAGAAAAAAAATTGTCAGTAGACAACCTGGTAGGAGCTTTTGTTTATGTTACTATGTAGATATGCATGGAATTATGTGGGAAACACCCACGAGAATGATCATGCCATTGCCTCTGCTATTGTTACTGCTTCCAATCCATTCTCAATGCTGTTGCTTTGAATACTGAAAAGTCATCCACGACTTCACTAACTGAAGGTAATAATGCCTGTTCTCACTATTATAACCAGTCTTGTTATATTCCTCATTGTGACTTCTATTGCCACTATAACTAGTATTCAAGAATTGCATAGCCTGTTGCCATTCTGATTTCCTGTCTGTGCTGAACTGTTGTGTTCTTTTCAGTGAAAACTAATTTGTTGGGAGTCAGCCGGATGTCTGACACATGCAGAAACTCATGCTTAAGAGTATCCAAACCAAGCTGAGATTTCCATGCATCCCACCTACACATGAAAATCCCAGAGATAGATTGTTGGAATGGAAGGGGCACTCTCTCGCCAAGACCACCACAGAAGGCTGGCGCGATTTCGACATTCCGTTGCCAGGCATGTCACCTTGAAGCCAGTTCATCTTCAAGGAGACCCGCTTAGAAACTACTTGATGTGGACTGCATGCTGGAGTCCGTTCACTTTACCCTTTCCATCTCTGCCTTCAAAGCCTCAAGACCTATCACTTGTAACGGAGGTGTTGCTTGTGGCAAACTGTGAATATATTAAGTG